TGCAGGGCTGGCAGGCGGGGCAGTGATGATGTGTTACACATTTGTCAGCCTTGGCTGGGGGAGGCTGCAGCTTCTGTGCTTGTGTGTGTTCTGTGGAGAGAGGCAACAATTCACGATTTCCTCAGCCCTTGAACTGAAGTGCCAGAACCTTCTGCTCCTCAGTTACAGAGCTGCTGATCCTGGCCCACAGCCTCTTCAGCCTGACGTGTCACATGGAGGGCATCACTCGGGTGCTGCAGGCAGCCCGGCTGCTCACCGAGGAGCACCTGGCTCCCAGGGAGGAGTACGGGCTGCTGGTGAGTGCTCCTGGGGCTGTCCTGGGCTGTCCTGGGCTGTCCTGGGCTGTCCTGGGCTGACAGGGGCTGTCCTGGGGCTGCCAGGGGCTGTCCTGGGCTGGCTGGGGCTGCCAGGGGCTGTCCTGGGGCTGTCCTGGGCTGTCCTGGGGTGTCCTGGGCTGGCTGGGGCTGTCCTGGGGCTGTCCTGGAGTGTCCTGGGCTGTCCTGGGCTGTCCTGGGGCTGTCCTGGGGCTGTCCTGGGCTGTCCTGGGCTGTCCTGGGCTGGCTGGGGCTGTCCCTGTCCTGGCTGTGCCTGCCCAGTGGTGATTCAGCTGCTGGGGAAATGTGCTGCTCTGTGGCACTGGGCTTCTTTAATTGCTGCCTTGAAGGATCTCCTGGAGCCTGGGACGTGCCCAGCGGAATGGTGTCAGTGCTGCAAGCTTCACAGCCTATTTTTATGAGATAAAACGATGCCCTGTGAGCTCACAGCTGCAGTTTGGGCTGGTGTAGGAGTACCCCCATGGCTCCAGGGGCGCACGTGCAGCCAGGGCTGCCCTGGGAGGGGATCGTTCACTGCCCTGGAGCTGCTGAGGTGCCCTGGTGTCCCCAGGTGCGCCTGCTGACGGGCATTGGCAGGTACAATGAGATGACCTACATCTTCGAGCTGCTGCACCAGAAACACTACTTCGAGGTGCTCATGAGGAAGAAGCTGGACCCGGTACGTGAGGGGAAACGTGCAGGGAATTGTGTGGCTGCATCAGGAATTTACACCCAGTTTACACAGGCTGAAATTGTCTGGGCATTTTACTTCCTGAGTAAAATTTACTTATTGAATTGAGAGTCAGGTTTCATAGAAATAAATTATTGCTGGGATTTAGTCTTATTTTAGTTGAACCATTATTTCCTAATTAGTTCAGTGCTACAACGACAGCAGTGTTGAAACTTAAAACTTGGCACCGTCAGTTTTAACATCCTGCTTTGCTTTTATTTGCAGTTAGTTTCATGGGGGTTTTAAAAATCACAGATGCTCATAGGTTTGTTTTAAGTAAGCCGTGAAGAAATGTCACAAGCTGACATTGGTACGCAAAGAAGCGCCCGGGTGCTGGATTTTCATGCGCGGCTGGGCGCGGGTGGGGGGCCGCTGTTGGGTTTTGGGTCCCTTTGGGGACAGGGTGGCCTGTGGGCGCCCAGGGCCGTGCTGAGGGTGCCCTCTGTGCCCAGAGCGGGACGCTGAAGGCGGCGCTGCTGGACTACACCAAGCGCTGCCGGCCCGGCGACAGCGAGAAGCACAACATGATCGCGCTGTGCTTCAGCATGTGCCGGGAGATCGGCCAGAACCACGAGGCTGCCGCCTGCACCCAGCTCAAACTCATCGAGTGCCGGCCCTGGGGTGAGCGGGGACGGGCAGGGGCGGGCCCGGGGTCCCGAGCAGCCCTGCAGCTGCTGCTGCCCGTGGGAGGCTCCTGCGCCGAGCAGCTCCCGGTGCGCGCAGCGGGGCTGACACTCGGGGCTCTTTCCTGGTGTAACGTTCCCGTGGAGCAGGGACACAGCCAGGCTTCCCTCGGCCCACAGGGCGTGACACAGTGGCCTGGCAGGGTTTGTGTCTGTGAGAGTGGCACCCACAGGGTGAGCTCTGCAGCGTGGGCAGCCAGTGCTGTGAGAGCAGCGACACCGGGAGCTGTGCCAAGGGATTTCTGAGTGCTCAGTGCTGGGATCTGCCACAAATGTGTGGCTGGGCTTTCTTTCCAGCCTCCAATCACTCAACCAGGCTCCAGCAAAGCTTTGATCCATTAACTAAACAAGCAGTGAGTTCTTTCCTGCTTTTTTAATACATAAATTTTGGTTTAGTTTGTTGCTGCTTTATGAGACAACACCAGGGGCAGACTTGGCCCCGGGAGGGAGTTTGGTAACTTACCTTGTCACCTTTATAAATAATTGGTTATTCCTTCTTTTTTCCTGTTTCAGAGGAGTCTCTTCAGGATGTTCCAAATTTAAAGAAGCTGCTGCTGAAAGCTGTGACTCTCTTCATTGATGCAGCAGAGAGTTACTCCAAGGTAAAGTGAGATGGAATGGAATGATTTGTGGAGCACGTGAGGAGTGGGCTGGGCTGGGAGAACACACCGAGCTGCCCTGGGGAGGGTGTGCAGGGCCCGATGCAAAAGGGATCTGTGTCTCTGCAGCCCCTGGCACCAGCAGCATGGCTGTATCTGAGTGTGCTGTGCTGGCCCCTGCTCAGGCTTTAACAAACCCTGAGTTACAGGTGTGTTCCCCACTGTCAGGGCAGGGACCAGGAGCTTAACGAGCAAGGGTAGAACAATTACAGTGTTTAAACCCAAGCGTAATTATGGTGGAAGTATTTGTGGGAATGAAGCTTTGTTTAACGCCGATGGAACATGGTGAATGTGAAGCTGCAGTGCTCTGTCGCTGCTCTCAGGCCCTGCAGGGCCCTGAGCTCTCTCAGGGGTGCTCCCAGGCTCCCTGGAAGCTCTCAGCTGCTCTGTTGCAGGACTCGTGCGTGCGGCAGGCGCTGCGCTGCCGCCGCCAGACGCGGCTCATCACGCTGCAGCTGCACTTCCTGGGCTCAGGGCAGAGCACCAGGGTCATCAACCTGGGCAGGCAGGAGCTGCCAGGAGCCATCCTGGCCTTGCCCAGGTTCTACCAGGTGAGCTGGGCTCCCTTGGGCTCCTGTGTCGGGAACGACTTGGGCACTGCAGTGCCCGAGTGCTCAGCTCCTTCTGGCCTCAGAGCCTGTGGCTGTTACCCCGGCCTTATATCCTGTGGGATAGAGGGACAGGACACAGGGAATGGCTTCCTGAGGGGCTTGGATGGGATAATGGGAGGGAATTGTTCCTGGGAGGATGGGCAGGTCCTGGCGCAGGTGCCCAGAGCAGCCGGGGCTGCCCCTGGATCCCTGACAGTGCCCAAGGCCAGGCTGGATGAGGCTTGGGGCAGTCTGGGGTGGTGGAAGGTGTCCCTGTTTAGGGGCTGAGGAAGGTTGTTCACAGTGCTTTGTTCCCTGTATTTCTCCGCTGTATTTGTTACCCTGTATTTCACAGCAGCAAGGGCTGGGTGGAACAGAAGCTCCCCAGTAGCGAGTTCTCATTATGGCACGTTCTGTGCCATGAGCTCTCAGTGTGGAACGTTCTGTGCCATGAGTTCTCATTGTGGCACGCTCTGTGCCATCCCCCTCCTGTCCCTGCTCTCCCTGCAGGCAGCCATCGTGGCCGAGGCCTACGAGTTCCTGCCGGACTGGGCTGAGGTCCTGTTCCAGCAGGTGATCACCAGGGGGGACTTTGTGTACCTGGAGGAGTTCCGGCAGCAGCGGCCGCTGCGGCCCGGCCTCTTCGAGGAGGTGGCCAAGAAGTGAGTGAGGCTCTGCAGCTCTGCCTGCACAGGGCCCTGACAGGGGGGAAAGGGGTCGACTGTCCAACTGTTATGGATTTGAGATAGAACTCCAGAATGGTTTGGGTGGGAAGGGACCTTAAAGCCCATCCAGTGCCACCCCTGCCATGGCAGGGACATCTTCCATTGTCCCAGGCTGCTCCAAGCCCTGTCCAGCCTGGCCTTGGGCATTCCAGGGATCCAGGGACTGCCTCAGCTGCTCTGGGCACCTGTGCCAGGGCCTGCCCACCCTCCCAGGGAAGGATTTGTTGGTAGGCTTGGTCCTTGGCCCAGCATGGAAGTCACTCTGATCCAGCCTCGTCCTTGAGCTGGACAAGGATGGAGCTCAGGGCTGGGCAGAGCAAATCCCTAAAATGAATCAGAGCAAGTAAACAACCAGGAGATTCAAGTGTAGGTGTTGAGTACGACCTCCTGTTGAAATGCCACTCTTGCAGGCCCAGAGCAAGGCTCAGGGGCCTGGGGAGGTTCTGTCTCAGTCCATGTGCAATTGTTGCAGGGTCAAACAGCAGCAGCCCCCTGCTGATGCTGCCCTGAGGAACCTGAAGCGGTTCCTCACCCACTGTGAGGACATCTACACCTACTACAGGCTGGCCTACGACCACAAGTTCTATGACGTGGTGAACTCCCTGCTGAAGGACCCTCAGACTGGCTGCTGCCTCAACGACCTCTTATCCAACTGAGCTCCAGCTGAATCCCAGCCCAGCACAGGCTGCAGCTCACTGCTGCTTTACACTGATTTTATCCATGGCCTGCTCACAGGGCTCTGCTGCTCTGTAAAAATTACTCCAGAAAACTGCACAAAGTTGTAAGTAGTTAAATGCTGACTGTGTTAACCTGAAATTGTGTTTTGTATAATAAATCCTATTGTTTATAAATTACTTGAGTCACCAGCAAACACTGACTGGCCCAGGTAGGGGGTGAAGCAGAGATCCAGCAGCCCTTTAAATCAGGGGCAGAGGCGAGGGAGCAGCCCAGGAATTGTATCCAAAGAGGCTGAAACAGGTGTGCAGAATGGCCAGGCAAGGGCGGTGGAATGAGCAGAATCACTGCAGGTTTCAGGTACCCAATAGAATAATGCCTTCTTTGAGTCCAGTCTGATTTCTAAAATCTTGTACGGCTTTAAACAGCCCATTCCTAATTCTGCTGTCTTGGAGTAAAAGAAATAATCAAGTGCAAATGTATTTTTACAGTTATTAAATCAAAATTCCTTTCCAGGCCCAGGCCATGGGCAGACTCCCAGCACAGCTCAGCTTTGCAGCTCTCCCTTTTCAGGTATTTTTCCTGTCAGGCCCCAAAAAGAACTGTGCTCCAAGGCCAGCCTGGTGAAGTCCTCAATAGTGATTTTTATTAAATTAGTTGCTTTATAAAACATTGCAGATGTTGTAATTGTTAACATAACAATTTGCCCAACTGTAGGAACTGCTGCAGTTTGCTAAGCAAGTTTGGTTTTTAATGAAAGAAAACGGCTGAGTTGTGAGAGACCCACCACAACCCAGGAGAGCCCCAAGGAATTCATGTGGCTTGGTTTTTTCTTTTACACTTAACCCCTTAATTAACTGTTAAAGAACACCCAACCCAGACAGCTGCATTAGTAGAAATTTAAATGACTGGAACTAAATAAACTTCATCCTTGAGACACAAGTGGGTTTTGCCTTGCTCTGCCCCACCAGGTGCTGTTCAGGTGTCAGGCTCTGGAGCAGCGGCTGTCCCAGGGGACAGGCTCCCAGGTGCAGTATTCACACTGAAGTTAGCAGTTCCCTTCCCAAAATACTGAAATCCTCAAGCTCTAACTCAAGACAAAGCGACTGGAACTCTACGTGCACACCCTGCCCATGCTGCAAACTGCTCTTGCTCAGCCCTGGCCCTGGAGCAGGGACAGTTAAGGCCATGTCATGGAGCTGTGCTGGTTATAATCCTTCACCTTGTTCCAATTCCTCCCCGATTTAGTGGCTGCTGCAATGAATAGCAGCAGTGCCCATTATCAGAATTTTGGGTTTTTAACTGCAATTTACAGACCTTTTCCATTCTACCCCCGCCCGGAGCTTCCACCCGGACCCGGCACCTCCAGCCCCAGCACACAGATACTGCAATTCTGATTGTAGCATTTGGCAGAATTTAGAGGAAGAAAGGTTGTGCTACATGTTTAAGGGATTATGGGCAACAGAAAGACAACAGAAGGGAGATAAATGTCACATGAAGTCTTCAAAGTCTTGTACGTACTCGCCGTCGTAGCCGCCGTAGTCGGCCAGGTCGTCTTTCATCGTCGCCTTCAGCCCCCCGCCAGGCACAACACCTTTTTTCTTCTTTTTGGCTTTATTCTGTGCCAAGGGGACAAGGGTGGTTATTGCACAGCCCAGAGCTCTGCCATTACCCCAGCCAGGCCCAGCCCAGTGGCACTGAGCAGCCACAGCCCCTGCACTGAGCGTGGCCCTGCCGATGGTTTCCACCCCACGTTTTCTCTTCCTAGGAAAGCCGTGACAGTTCCAGGTGTCCCCAGCTCCCTGCACCACAGCCTGGCCCTCCTTTGCCTTTCATCCTATTTCCCCTGGACTCTCAACAAGTAACTAATAAATGCAGGGGAGCCCCAAGCAGGGGCTGTGATCCCTGAGGAACAGCCCCAGCCTTACCTTCTCTTGTTTTTGTTTTTCACTGCATAATACTGTCAGAGTGTTTGTGATCTTTTTCAAATCATCCACCTCCACTGCATCAGGGAAGAAAAAGGAAAAAAAAAAGATTCCTTATCAATTTTGTTCTTATAAGGCAGTTAAGTAACATCCACAGTCTCTAAAACTAGAAATCAGCATTAGTGTAACTATGGGCAATTACTTGATTTAAATCAGCAGAACACAGAGTGGGTGGTTCTGGTCCTTACAATCCCAACAAGGATTCCAGCTGGTTCCTTGGAAGCCTGAGCCTTGTCGAAGGTAAAACTTGCAAATAAAGTTACTGAACACAAGGGTCTTACAGAGACATTTGAACAGTTAAATATGGAGACAGTAAGATACAGTAAAATGTATTAAAAGGAGCACTGGATTAACAATAAATTATTCTGTTTATCAATAAATGGTGCGAGAGGCTGGCAGTCCCTCCTGTTAGGAGCTCTGGAACCCCTGAGATGGAAGCTGCCAGCTGGGATGATGGATGTAGCCAGCTCCTGCTGGGATCGAGTTACCCCTCACTGAAGGACAACTGGGTACAGCACAGGGAGCCATCCCAGCCACTGCTCCAGCCACCAGGGCACTGGGAATAGGAGTTTAAATTACTTCATCTCTGTAGAGTTACATGCTGAATTCCAGAACAGTTAATCTGCAGTTCCAGAATTACATGAACTTGATTTTGTAGTAGTTTCCCTCTAAATGAGGTACTCAAATTATCTGCCTAAGAGAATTTACTCTTATTATTATTTTAGAAATGGCTTCAAGAAAAACATGCAGGATTTAGATCAGCATAAAAATTCACACATTTAAGGGAACTGTCTCTAACCAACGTGCAGAAAGAGCACTCTTGCACGAGGAGAGGATCCTAGGTGGAGTTGGTGGGAATGGAATCAGGTCGGTGCCTCATTTAGCCCAAACTCCCAGAGCAATCCCCTCTGAGCACTAGCACAGCACGTTTTGCACTCCAGCTGCAGCCTGCTCTGGCAGCAGGGCTGGGCTGTCTGCACTCACAGGAAATACAGACGTCCCGAAGCAGCGCCTCCAAAAAGCCGGCGTAATGTAGGGACTTCTCGTACTGCGTGATCTTCTCCTTGAGCAGCTTCCCAAATTCCGTGAAGTCGTCTTTAGAAGAGGGGTTCATGGCATCTATTCCACAAGTGCTATTTACACCTGCAGGACAGGCAGGGGTGTCACAGAGACCATGTGAGCCCTAAAGGGGGCTCAGCTCCCACCTCCCTGAGCTCTGCTCCCCCACAGCCAGGGTGATCCCTGCCCTCACAGAAGGAAGGAAGTTTGCTGCAAAACTCAGCAATTTCATAGGATCCCTGAATGGTCTGGGTTGGAAGGGTTAAACCCCATCCAGTGCCACCCTGGCAGGGCAGGGACACCTTCCACTGTCCCAGGTTGCTCCAAGTCTATCCAACCTGATCTTGGGCACTGCCAGGGCAGCCCCAGCTGCTCTGGGCACCCTGTGCCAGGGCCTGCCCGCCCTCACAAGGAACAATTCCTGCCCAATATCCCACCTAACACTGCCCTCTGTCAGTGGAAAGCCATCCCCCCTTGTTCTGTCACTCCATGCCCTTGTCCAAAGTCTCTGCCCAACAATTTTTGAAGCTGAGTCAAACTCAGTAATTTGACCCAGCTCTTCCTGTTCCCTGGACAACCTGCACCAGGAAAGGAAGCCCCTTTTCCCTCAAACAATTCCTGCCTCAGCCTCCTGAGTGCCGAGCTCAGCTGGTTCTTTGCAGCTGTGCACACCCCCCAAGCTCTGTGACAACCTCCCCTGAGCAATGAGCTGAATCATTCACCATAATTAAGGAAACTCTTCCAGTTTGAGGAATGCTGCTGTGCATCAGCATCTTTGCTATTTTTTTGTTCTCGGTGCCACAACTCTGCGTGCTGAGAGCCAAACCCTGCCCATGTTTTGCAGGGTCCCAGGGGTTTATTTATTTCCTGCTGCTTTAACTCACCGAAGGTTTCCTTTGCCAACTCCAGGTCTGACTCCTCTTGCAACTTCTTTAGCCGTAGTTTGTCTGCCAACTGTTCTTCTGGTGTGAGCTCCTTCTGTTCCTCAGGTGCCTCTAACTGCAGGAGGGCACACAGAGAAGGTGGCACGTTAAAGACATGGTGCCTTCTCCAGAGCCACTGCGTCACCCGCGGCTGCCTCCACTCAGGGCACATGGAAAACCTGGGACCCATTCCTACAGTCCCAATAAATTGTTCATTTCACAAGGAATGGGAAGAGACACAAACTCCCACTGCTGCCTGTTCCATCACTGCTGCACACAAAGGAATGGGATAACACTGATCCAATCGCTGGTTAAACTATGCAGGAATTAAAGCTCCCAGCCCCAGATGGGATCATGTACAAGACCTAAGTTTGGTTTATCAGATGAGTCAAGACCTTTTCGGATCTTGCTCAACCTCCAAAAAACCAAATCAAACCCACCCTCTGAATTTTATGTGACCCAAAAGAAATCAGGAGTTACCCTTTTTTTAAGCTCCTCTTGCTTTTTCTTTTGTAGCTTTTCTTTTTCTTTGATTTTTTCTGCTATTTTCTTTTTTTCTGAAACTTTCGGTTCTGTAAAGAGTGGAATAGCAAACACAGCTCTCAGAAATCTGATGATTTTTCCTCCCCACACAACCACAGACACTGGAAGCTCAGCTCCTGGGACTGAGCAGAGAGTTACAGACATTTCTGTTAAACCCAGCCCCGCTCAGGTTCAATCCTCACACACCCCAGACACAAACAGTGCCTGTTCCCATGCTGATACAGAGCCAGGGGTTATCTTAAAGTCTCACCTTGTTTTACCTCTGTCTCCTTCACCTCCTCCTCTTCCTCCTCATCATCCCAGTTATCCTGCAAAACAGCGAAGATCCTTTTACAGTCACCTGTCACCTCGTCAGAGCCCACAAACCCACTGATCTGGTATCAGAGTGAGGGAGCCATGGGAGCTGTGTCTCAGGGGTTTTTGGAGCTGTCCACACTGGTTGGGGCCAGTTCCTACCATGAAAAAGGCAGGTTTTGGTCAAACAACCATCTGGTGTCAGTAATTACAACAGCCAGGTCACAAACAGTCAAACACCACTGGCACAAAGAGGACTTTATTCTCATTTTGGCATTTTGAGACACTGAACATCCCTGAGGGATGGGCACAGCACAGCCCTGCCGGAAGCCCCCAGCCCAGAGCAGCACAGGCTGCTCTGTCCCACAGCACCAGGGCCCCTCTCCTGGGCTGGGACAAGCTTCCCATGGCTGCAGGGCTTTTCTGGGAGGCCCCAGCAGAGGCAGGGGTGCAGAGCCCCACGCTCACCGGGATGTGCTGATCCAAGCAAGGAGACACCAAGCCCTTCCACAGCTCACCCCGGGTAATTGGCACCTGCAGGGGACTCGGCTTCCCTGCCACATTCCATGGAGCTGACTTGAATTTGGAGCAGCATTATTATAGCTCACATCTCTTTAACTGTGCTACACCCACTGCTTAAACAGCTCCACTCAGCACCGAGGAGCTGCCTCAGCCCCAGCCCGGCCAGGCTGACAGTCAGATGCCAACTGCAGAGGAAGGGCAGCCTGGCCACGAGGGATTCACCCGTGGGACACTTCACAGAGGGCACGGGGGCAAGGACTCTATCAACCCCATCCTGACAGCCAGGCCTGGTTCATAACCCAGGAATTCCAAATCCTGACAGCCAGGCCTGGTTCATAACCCAGGAATTCCAAATCCTGACAGCCTTGCCTGGTTTATAAACCCAGGGAATACCAAATCCTGACAGCCAGGCCTGGTTCATAACCCAGGAATTCCAAATCCTGCCAGCCTTGCCTGGTTTGTAAACTCCAGGGAGCTCTCTTGGAGGAAGAGCCAACTGCCCCAGTGCAGTGTCCTTGCAGTGATACAGTAATTCCCAGAGAACACATTCATTCCCCAGTATTTCAACACTGTTTCTGTGTCCTTCACTGCCCCAGGAACATCCTCCCTGCGGCTGGGCCTGGGCACTGGCTCCCAGCTCCAGCCGAGCTCTGGGATGGAGCAGGCGCTGCTCTGCTCTGGCTGTGCCAGCCCTGAGTCAATAGATGAAAATTCCTGGCAGCAGGCCTGACTCCTGGGGAACATGTGCTGGGGAACACTGAGAGGAGTTTTGTTACCAAAGGTGCTAATTTTAAACCCGGGAAGTTGACGTTTCCCAAATTAACAGTGACTGCAAGTTCACTACTTAAAAACCCTCCAAAACACAGATCTGCAGATACAAAGCACATTCCACAATGTGAGGTGCCTTAGGAAAGCCGTGGCCAGAAAACACTTTGTGCTGCCACTTTAGACCACGTCATCTCCCTCACGTGGGGATTTCCCCATGTGGGCCCTCACACTGAGGGATCCAGGGCCTGAGCAGGGGCCTTTGGAGTCTGGCAGGAAGAGCAAACCAAAGGAAAATAAACCAAAACAAACCACCTTTCCTTGCTGGATCCTCTCTAGATGCAGCTCTGGCACTAAACCCATAAACCCTTGGAAATAGTTAAGCAACTGCATTAAACTATGTGTAGATGTAAAATGTCTTCCCAGTGCCAGAGGGCAGGGATGGATGAGATATTGGGAAGGGATTGTTCTCTGGCAGGGTGGGGAGAGGCTGGGATGGAACTCCCAGAGCAGCTGGGGCTGTCCCTGGATCCCTGGCAGTGCCCAGGGCCAGGCTGGACAGGGTTTGGAGCAGTGGAAGGGTCCCTGCCATGGCAGGGGTGGCACTGGATGGGGTTTAAGGTCCCCTCCGACCCAAACCGTTCTGGGATTCCACGTGGGCAATGTTTGTTCCTACATTAAACAGACAGAGACCCCTCAGGTGGTTCCTGGAGAACCTCTCTGGTCCAGCTCTCCTGGACACATTCTATCCAGCAGGAAAGCTTCTCACTTTCTAAGGAAGGAGGAAAACCAAATGTCATAAACAGCCTGAGCTCAGGTGTCTGTGCACACCTGTCAGTCACAGAGCTGTCAATCTCACACACCTGTGTCAATCACACACACCTGTGTCACTTCCACGCTGCCCACACTCATTCCCAGTGCCTGGGACTGCTGTGCACACACCTGTCCTTGTCCTGCTGCTCTAATGTCACACCTGGGACACTGGGCTGGGGCTACTATTCTATTTAAGAAGATAAGTTACACACAGAATCACAGAAATCTGGCAACTTCAGGGTTCTTAAAAGATGAACTACTTTTTCCATACTGTTTATGGGAAGAACTCCACCTGAGCCCCAATAAAAACTGCTGGTGCTTTTCAGAGATTCTGGTAACAGTGTCCCCAAAACCAACCCTGAGTCCTCACCCAGTGTTACAATGTCCCAGGGCTGGAGGAAACAAAAAGGTCTTTTGTAATTGCCTCATTCCACTGAGAGAACCCCGGGATGGTTTGGGTCCCCAGGGACCTCAGAGACCTCCCAGCTCCACACTGCGCTCTGGGCAGGGACACCTTCCACGGTCCCAGGCAGCTCCCAGCCCTGTCCAGCCTGGCCTTGAAACCCATCTGGTGTGCTCCTTGTGCATTCCCGGGCAGCCCTTAGCACTGTCCACATGAGTATGGAGGCAGCAGCAAAGAGCCTTTGAGGGAGCTCTGCCTGCAAAAGCACCAGCAATGATCATCCACACGTTTTATCCCACTGCCGTGCAGACACCACGCTGAAACACGGCAAGATCCCGCCTCGCGGCGCTTGGAGAAGCAGGAAAATCGGGTGGAAAAGACGCGCTGGCAGAGCACAGAAGCTTCTGGTGAGCAGCAGAAGCACCGACACAGCACAGCCGTCATTAATCCCGTCCCGGCGCCTCACCAGCGCACCCCACTCCGGTGCCGGGCCCGGCAGGCTGCAGACAGCGGCGGACAGTGCCCCACAGCCGGGGGAGCGGCTGGGGAGCAGCAGGTGGATCCCCAGCGAGCGGGAGGCGCCGCTCCCGAGCGCCTGTCCGAGCCTCCGTGCGCCGCACGTCCCGGGGCAGCGGCACCGGCTGCGGCCAGGGCGGCTCGGCGCCTCCTGCCACTGCCCCTTGTCACCGTGACCGAGCCGGGGCCGCTGCCGCGCGGCCGGAGCCGCCGTGCCCGGGAGCCCCGCGGTGTCCGGCCCGGCCCCGCCGCCCGCCGAGGCCCGAGCCCGGCCCGGGGCCGCGCCAACCCGCCCGGCCCGGCCCGCCGGGGCCCCGAGCCCCCGCCCCGGCCCGCGGCCCCGCTCTCGGCCGCCATATGGCAGCGGCCCGCCCGCCCCGCCGCCCCCACGGCGGCCCCGCAGCCGCCGCGCCGCGGGGTCCCGGCGGGGCCCGCCCGGCCGCACCTTCACGTCGTCCTCCTCATCCTCGCCGGCCCAGCGGTCCCCGGCCACCCCCGGCACCAGCCGCTTCGCCACCGGCTCCACCACCTCGAAGCTGTCGGCGTCTGTGGGGAGAGGAGCGCGGGTGAGCGGCGGGGAGCGGCGCGGGGGGGCCCCCGCCGGCCCCGGGCCCCGCGGCCCCGCCGCACCCACCCCACGAGTCCGCCGCCTCCGCCGCCATCTTGCCCCGACCGCGGCCGCCGGGCAGCGCCGCGCGGGGCACGCCGGGACGGCGGCGGACTGACCCCGCCCCGCCCCCGGACACGCCCCCGGAGGTGGGGCCTGAGCCAGCGCGGGAACGGGGCGGGAACGGGGAGAGGGGGCGGGGCCGGGACAGGAATCGGGAACGGGATCGGGATCGGGAACGGGGTCGGGGTCGAGATAAGGAACGGGATAAGGAACGGGATCGGGATCGGGAACGGGAACGGGATCGGGATAAGAAACGGGATCGGGAACGGGATAAGGAACGGGATCGGGAACGGGATCGGGATAAGGAACGGGATCGGGATCGGGAACGGGATCGGGAACGGGATCGGGATAAGGAACGGGATCGGGAACGGGATCGGGATCGGCCCTGGGCCCGGCATCCCGCTCCCCCGGGCCTGTCCCGGGGCAGCGCCCGCCCGGCGCTATCGCGAGCCGCAGCCGCGGGAGCCGCCCCGGCCCCGCCGCACGCCCAGCCCGGGAGTGGAGCGGAGCGGAGCGCAGGGAGCCGGGCCGGGCCGGGCCGGGCCAGGCCGCGCTCCGGGCACCATCCCGGCACTATCCCGGCACCATACCGGCACCATCCCGGCACCATCCCCGTACCATCCCGGCACCATCCCGGTACCATACCGGCACCATCCTGGCACTATCCCGGCACCATCCCGGTACCATCCCGGCACCATCCCGGTACCATACCGGCAACATCCCGGTACCGTCCCGGCACCATCCCGGTACCGTCCATCCCGGCACCATCCCGGCACCATCCCGGCAACATCCCGGTACTGTCCCGGCACCATCCCGGTACCGTCCATCCCGGTACCATGCCGCCACCATCCCGGCACCATACCGGCACCATCCCGGCACTATCCCGGCACCATCCCGGCACCATCCCGGTACCATGCCGCCACCATCCCGGCACCATGCCGCCACCATACCGGTACCATCCCGGCACCATCCCGGTACCGTCCCGGTACCGTCCCGGCAGGGCTCGGGCACGGCACGCGCAGGTTTACCCACAGCGGGCCGCCAGGCTCTCCTTCCCTCTGTCCTGGAACACGAACAGAGGAAAGCTGGAATTGTTCACCTCTGCACTGCCCGCTCCCAGCTTCTGTGGCAACCCCAGGAAGTGGAAAAGGAGGATAGATTTTGTCTGAAGGTATTAAATTTAAAACGTCTTTCGTACACCAAATCAATGATCTCTGTATACGCCTGTACAAATCACACACGTGTCTAGGAAAACACAAAGGAAAAATAGAGACATCCAAATTTATCATCCTTTTCCCGTTCTTCTCCATTTTCCAGACAATATAAATAATAACAGACGGCTCCAACAATGTCAATGCTCAAATAAGTGATATCCTCACCAAATCTACAGTTTCACAGCCTCAGGGTGCTGTGGAGATAATCACAAAATTGCCAGGAATTGTGCAGTAATTTGGAATATGTTAATACTGGAATACCTAATTTGGAATGCTAAGAATTTACACAGAACATTTAAATTTTTCCTTGACAGTAAAACACAGACACGACTTCTTCCACTGCAAGGCTGAAAACTGGCAGGAGCAATGTCTTGACTTACAGAAACTTGAGGCTCAGTGAAGGATGAGATCAGCTAAAAATCATAAAAACAGAATCCAGAGCATAAGTATTTAATTAAATCTTTGTGCTTCTGTAGACTAGAAACGATTGTTGAAGAAACAGAAATCCACAGCACAGGGCTTCTCCTCCCATCGGTACTTTACAAGATTGGGCCCCATCAGTACAAACGACATTTTTGCAGGTACCAAGAACAAAATCTCCTCCTCCTCTGCGGGTCCATCCTGCCCCGGGGCTCGGTGATTTCCAGCGGCCCCACTGCAGCCCTGGGGCTGGCAGGGCAGGGCAGGGCAGGGATGGTGCTGGCAGGGCTCTTGTCACCCTGCCAGGCTCGGTTCCACATTTCAGGGCTCTTCCCAAACCCCATCCGTGCCTTGGCCGATGCCTCCCGCTGGCAGCAGGGTGGTTTGGTGGATTCCCACTCCGGTCCGGGCACACTGAGCCTTCCTGCCACATCCAAAGCAATGGATTGCCAGGTGGGGTCAATCCGAGCTGGGGGAAACAGGAACACCGAGGCTGGGAAAGCAGAGGCCTGAACAGGTACTGCCACCGAAGGGCTGGGAGGTGTGACACGGAACAGAATCCACTGGGACACGGAAAACAGGCCACCACAACCCGGCACAGACCACAGAGGAAATCGTTCAGAGCTTTGGAAATAGGATGTGATGCATTCCACAAGGACAAGACCATACTCCATAAGGAATCAGTGATCCAGCTGGGGGGCACGAGCCACACTCACACGTGCTGAGCCCCCCAGGCACGGGGGGTTTGGGGACACAGCCTGACCCAGAGCTGGGCACAGGAACAGGGAACTCCACCTGGAGATGAACAGGACAGAAAACCTGCGGATGAAAACTCTGCCTCACAGCAGAGAGGTCAGCAGGAGGCAGAGGCACTGTGCAGAGCTCAGTGATGAACACCAGGCTGGCAGCACAGGAAAATATGAATATTTAAGATGTTCACCAAGCACCTCTGTCAGTCCCGCTGTCACCGCTGCAGAAGCACATCCCCTCGTTCACACTCGGGTTTCCCTCGCGGGTCTGACGGGCACAGCACACACACAGCTCCAAAGTGCAACGTGCCTTTGGTGTCCTCAGCTCTGGAAGCACTGCTGGCATGGCTGGGGCCACAGAGAACCTGGGGACGTCACTGGAACACTGCACACCCCACCACAGCTGGAGATGTCACTGGAACACTGCACACCCCACCACAGCTGGAAAAGGCCGTGAGCTAAAGCTGGGCTCCTTCTGGCAGATCCGGGAATTTCACAGCACTTGTGTGATGTGGAAGAACTGGGAGGAATCCCCCGTTAGGCAAAGCTTCACCAGGGAACTGAAACCCCTCAGACTGAGATTTACATCGCAAGGAACAAGGGAGAAACGGCTGCAAAGCAAGGGGCAGCTGCACACGAGCTGCCCCTGCCTTCCAGAGTCCATCCATCCATCTCTCCATCAGCTGCCCAGGGGACACGGCTGCACCAAGCAGATGTAAAGGTAATGTTCTGTACATTTTATTTCAATAAAGACATAAGACAAACAGCGTAAAGATGCCCAGATGCCCTAAAGATAAATACATTTAAAAGATTCTCATTAAAATGAATCTGTAGTATTTCTTTCCTGCAAGCAAAATACCTTTCTTTAAATACAAAAAAAATCAGTATTCTGAATTGCAAATGTTTTCACTTTTTTTGCAGAAAATCTGCCATGATGATTTTGTTTTTAATGAATAAGGATTTTCCACAAAACAGGCTTGCTCTACATGCTAAGTTTTAACAGTTCAGTGACACCATGTGCTAGCTACATACACAACAGATAATATAGTAAGAAAACACTCAACCTGATGAAAAGTTAAAATCTTCATTAATACACTGGAAAAAGTTGACATAACTCATGCCTTTTAAAATCAAAAATACAAAAATTAAATGTTTTGCTAAAAAGATTTTCCTTATTTTAAGGACTCATTTGAAAATGAAGCTGCATGTAATTTGTACAATAAAATTGTACAAGTAAACAGGTAATATACATAAAAAATTAATTGACATACTTCTCAATTATCAGCTGTCCACCTTTAATTTCCAATACTGTACTTTCTTATCAAGCATACAAAATAGCAAACTTCTCTTTAGAAAAAGTGCCGTTCTGTGACATCTTTTACATAAAACCAGTCCGAGCCTGTGGCGTGGTAATGCAGTCGAGAGGCAACGCTTGCTAACTCGTACAAATCCTACCTTGCGTCCAAAGCCTCCGGGTACAAAACCATCCCTCCATCCCTCTGGGGGCTGCATTAGGGCCAGGGCCGGGCTGTTCCCTCCAAACCAGCGGGATGGCAGGGCAGCCCTGCCCCGAGAGGCCATTGGCAGCAGGAGTGTCACAGGAGCCCTGCCCGGGGCCTGGCACAGCTGCCCGTCCCGCCCTGCCCTGCCCCTGCCCCGGGCCGGGCACGGCAGAGGGTGAGGTATTCCTTGTCCATCGTGGTGCCACTGCCAGCTGTGCTCTGTCCGGAGGACGTGCCATCGCAATGGTTCAGGGTATTCCCAACGTTAGTCGTTCTTATCTTCGTCTTATCTAGCCAGTCTCTTGATTTTTTTTGAAAAGGTTTTCGACTACAGTAGAATATTACAGAAAGAAAATATAAATGCAGGGTTTCTTTTTTTTTTTTTTTTTCTTTCTAAATGAAACTTACGTGGGCTAAAACTAGAGAATATTTTTAAACAAATATACAGGATGCAGGCAGACAAAGCAGGGAAACGGCCAGCCAACTGTTTAATAAAAAACTAACAAAATTTGGCTATTTCCAGAAAAACTATGAAGCGCCTCAACTAAAAGGAATGCATAATGAAATTCTAATCTAATACAGGTCAAAAATGTAAAAAGGTTATAAACCTTAACAGGAAAAATAAAACAACTTTTACTGGCCATTCCTGTTGAAATGAGAATCTTAAAAGTAACAGAAAAGTGGCTACAAACCCACTTAGAGCACCGAACAGAGAGAAAATCCGAGTCCGTTTTCAATCTCTGTTGTATCATAAAATCCTGTGTTTCTACAGGTCAAACTGCTGGTGGCAGAAACAGAATTTTCTTTATAAACTGCAGATGTCCTGTACATAAAAAATTTCCTTGGAGTTGCACTAGTTCTAAAGACTTTTCTGTTCTAGCCTCCCTACTGCGGGTACTGGATTGTACTGATGGCGGCAACCTCAGGTGTAGAAAGTCTCTTTCTGTAACCCTTGATCATTGTTGGGCACCAAAGATAAGAAAAGCAAGACGGGGTACAAAAATGCAAAATTTCAACAGTAATGGCAATGTTTTGTATTAGTCCAGCAGGGTCCTGCATTTCCTCCCCTCGGCAGCGAGAGCACAGGCTTTAATCGGGGGGTAGCAAATCATGCAAGCGAAATCTGTCTCTGATGTGAGGTCGGACGT